AATAAGATTGATAATATTAAGATTGGAAGTACCAGTTGCTATTTTGAATCAAGCTTTTGCTCCCAAAATAATAATATAGTATCAAAATATGTAATGTGTTCAGAATATTATGTTGGTTGTATGTTTAATTCCCATGAGGTTCTAATTTCATGATTTTACAAAAAAAATTCCATGCAAACAAAGGGCATCACTTTTAGCTAATAAGTTGTGAAGTGTTACAAGTTTCTTGCAGAACCTGCTGACGAAGTTGTTGTTAATGACATGTTGTMACTAAATAAAAACTATAGACATTTAACTATCTTTAACTATAGACTTACATTACAATATTGTATTTTTTTAATCATGGTGTATTTTATTTCAATCATTATAGAATTGAAATTGAATTGTTTGCTGACCACAATATAGTAACAAGACCAAAACTGAAAATAGATTTCTATTCAACATGATGATAAACAACTATTTCAAATGATTTTCTAAAAGAAGAAATCTCCACTTGAACAATATCATGGTGTCCAATGTTTGCTGATGAACTGAGGGTATGAGTTTCTATCAACTCTTGCTGCTTGGCATGATGAGTGAAGCGTATCCCAACATTATTATTTGCACCATCAATGGCATACACATGATTAATATCAGGGTATCCAAACAGCAACACAGAGGAAGTCTGGCCAGTGTAAAACAATGTACAGTTATTATTACGGAAGATAGATACAAAATCAGTTGGTATATATTCAGTGATCGAAGAACTGTCAACTACTACTTGTGCTAACTCAAATTCAGGTCCATGGAATACTTTTAGGACAATGTCATAACCATAGCTTCCTTCCCTTGGGTCAGCAATATAGATCTTCTCATTATGATAGACTGCACGAGAAAGTGGTTTCACAAGTTGATTTTTTCCAAACACTTTCTGGGGAGTTGGAATATTTGATTTGTAAACCACCACACATTTCATGATTGAGCTATCAATTTCACAGTCTTCATTCAATTCAGATGAGACAACAGTGAACACATCATTGTTGCATGAAAAGTAGGTGTACTTCAGGTTTCCACTAGCAACATGGAGTTTTATTCTCTTAAATGTGCCCCCTTTGTCATAAAACAACAGACGGTTGCTGTCACGATTGACTACAACAACATTGCCAAGTGAGCAAAAGCCCACATCTGACAAAGATCCATACACAATTTGAATTGTTGCCTTGTGCACTGCATCTGAACTGTAGAGGTGAACCTTCCGGTTCTCCTTCCACAGCACAGCCACATCACCACTTTGAGGACAAACAGCAATTCTGGATGGATAAAATGGTAGATCAACACAATGTAGAACTTCTCTTTCTGATTCAAATTCCCTGTATTCATCGATAACAAACTCAGAAGGTCCTGAATTAACCTCCATGCATGTAGCACTAACTAAACTTTCACCATGTTGGGTATTACTAGAGCAGGTTTGATCAGCTGGCTGTGGTATGTCATTTGTCAAGTTGCCTAGAAAATCATCATTAACATCACTCTTCTTCAAGGTCATGTCAAAAGATTTCACGTTCATGGCACTTGTATGTACTGAGGATTCGGGATATCTTGAATATTCATCCAACTGAACCTTTATTACTTCTTTCATTTCAGAAATCTCTGATAAATCTTCGTTATTAACAGTGTCTTCAACATTAAAAACGCAATTTTGGGCAACTTCTAAATAGGATGTCATTTCTTCTATTTCCTTTTCCAATTGCTCGTGAAATTTCAAACCGCAATGTTCTTTAAGATACTTATCCACTTCTTCATGCATTTTCTCTTCACATTTTACGATGACGTCAATGCATTCTTTAGCGTGAGAAGAAATCTGTTTTTTCAGGTCTTCGCCAAGTTGTTTGTTGTTGTTCACCACAGCAAGTTGTCTTTCCAAGTTTTCTCGGATTCTCGTATTTCTCTCTATCTCGTCCTTACACAAACGTACAGCGTGCTTTATCTCCTTCTTTTCCTTTATTCCAGGAATCTTCTCAATCAACCTCACAATCAACGTGTTCGTTGGAAATCCATCAACTCCTCGAGAAGGTAAAGGTGAAGTTTGGCGGCATACTGGGCACTCAATATCCATGACATCCTTCTTCCTCCCAATCAAATTCGAAAGGCATGATTTACAGACATTGTGAGCACAGTTAGGGAAGGACTTCGGAACCTCAAATATATCGAAACATAACGGACAACAAACCTCCGAGTCTTCCAGCTCCATTTGGAAGTTTTTGCAAGCTGCCATTTTTCAGTAAGCTTACTGTAAGTATGGTAAAAACAATATCTGAGATTTCCAGAAGCACAACATCAAAGAACTAGTTCGTCTGAAAGGACGTCAATTGTAAAATTGTCGGTAAAAAGATAAGTATTTCCATGAAGGAATTTCACAAATACATTGACTTCCAGGAATCATAAAATCACACACCCGCTGACCAAAGATAAAAAGTGACACAGGTAACCCAATCTTCGCAGGCCTGAAATGTTTCACAACATCTGATGTGGCAGGATATACACCTAGCCAGGACAAGAAACAACCAAGGAGAAATAATAAATACACAAAGTTGAACTGTTGTTGTTGTTTTTATCTCTAACGTCACTAGATGGGCTGCCTGTAGTTTTTGACTCATGATTGTGTTGTGTTTACAAGCTTAGGGTAATGAAAAATAAAAATAAAAAAAAATAAACATTAATGTTATTGTCAAATAGAAATTGTTTGGAAATCATTCTGAGTGATGCAAAAACCAAAATGTAGTTGAATGCACCAGATTTCTAAATGAAATCAACAGAATTTTCAGCAATCAAACTTGAAGAAATCTGTCTTCAAAACTAAACATTAACTGTATACTCTTCCTGTCCGTTCACATGCATATTTTCTTTTTTTAGGCTTTCTCAATCAATGTACCAAAGTCATCTTGGCCATATACAAATGGCATTATTGAAAAGAAAAAATAAATTTCTTGTGAGCTTTTAACAACTGTACTGTACAATGGTGAACCTATTCCTGTCACAATAAATCTCAGCCTGGACTGTAGAGCTTTGCTTGGTAAAAATCACTAAAGCCTGCTTCAACTTTTGGTAAGGAGTTATCTGCTGTGCCTTGGTCAGGATGTTGCCGTTATCTTCAACCATCTTTAACAGTGTGCCATTCTGATGGGTTTCATGCAAAATAACTCTACTGTGCTTATATCCATTGGTTGAAAGTGACACTGACAATGGCAGACTGTTGGAGACTATGTCAGAAGAAAAACAACTATCTCCAGAAGATGTGAACCCTAAGATTCTGATTTTTCCTTGGCACTTGTCCGCAATGTAAAATCTTCCTTCAGCATAGAGAGCTCTTGATACAGGTTGTGTTAAGTATCTGCTACCAAAGTTCATGGTGTAGTTGCCATCTGTCTTCTCATATACAATAATCTTTGGGTGAATGACAGCATCTTTATCATCTTCATCTGTTCTTGTTGAAGTAATAATCAACCTCTCCTTTTTATCCACTGAAACATATGTGAATTTCACATTTTCTGGATTATTCAGTTCAATGTTTATAAATTGGCCACATTTCTCATAAAATAGCACCCTATTGCGTTGACGGTTTACAGCAGCAACCATGTTATTCCAAAATGCTATGTCAGTAATAATGCCAAACTTGACCATTATACTGTTCTTGTGCTCATCTCCACGAAAAAGTGCTATCTCTCTGCCATCTGACCATAATACTCCAATCAACATGTCCGATTCTGAACAATAATGGCCATTTACTTCAGCAGCAATTCGGTCAGGATGGAATGAAAGAGAATTCTCCTCCATTATCCATTTTGGAGGTGTGGGGTGCTTTGGAGGAGAGACTTTGGAACTCCTTTTGGATTGAGCTCTGGAGTTTGACACTGCATTACTACTTGTAGTATCAGCTGATGCAGAAGCCCCAGATGGTGCTGTACCCGTAGATACTGTTTTACTATTTGAAGTATTACTAAGACAAGCTGATGTTTTAGTTGCAGATACTGCATTATCACTTGAAGTATTACTATGACCAGCTGGTGCTGTACCTGCAGACACTGCATTACTATTTGATATATTACTAAGACCAGCTGATTCCTTAGCTGCAGATACTGTATTTTTACTTTGACTATTACAAAGACCTGCTGATGCTGTAGCAGCAGACTGTACGTTACTACTTGTAGTTTGATTAAGAGTACAAGGAGCATTGAGAGGATCTGATGCAGTAGGAACAGATACTACATGATTATGAGCAACTGTTGTATTCACAGCAGATTCTGCATTGCAACTTGTGGTACGATCAATCGTAGTTGATGTAGTGGCAACAACCTCTTCAATTTTGCCCAGTATCATATCTTTGTAACTTTGTTTTTGGAATTCTAGTGTCTTCACTTGACCAACCTTCTCAATTGAAGATGAAGAAACTTTAAGATAACTGGAGAACTCTTTCAGATGGTCTGCTATTACTTTCTTGATTTTCACAATTTCTTCTACATCATTTCTGTCCAGAGTGTCCTTGACAGTTTTCATACAATCCAATGTCTTTTCAATGCGAGTGGACAAGTTATTCTTGTACTTCTCCAGATTTTCAGCCATTTTAGCACAGTTTTGGTCAAGGAATGCATCGACCTTAAAGAAGATAAGAGAATGAAAGAATAAAATGTATTTGTGTCTGATAAAATAATGAATGAGCACATTGTTGCTGGAAAAATGAAAACATGTTATTGTTCATCATTTAATATGCTATCATTTATCATTAAAGCTCAATATGATTTTGGTCCCAAACTGATCAGTTTGTTCAGAGTTAAACTTAATGGGGAACTGTTCCCCTCTATTAACTGTTTTTCATCTTAAAGCTTACCTCACTATTCAGGCTTTCCTCACAGCCCCTTATGAGACTGATCATTTCTTCAGCACAGGCTGAGATTTCGTGTTTTACTTCTGCTAATTTTTCCACGTTTTCTTTAAGCAATTTCATCCTTTCGCCTATGTGACCTTGAATGGTATTTGCTTTGTCAATTTCGACCTTACATAGAGCTAAACTTTCGTTGATGTCCTCTGTTTCTCTCAAGCCAGGCACCCCGTCAATCAGCCTCAGAATCAGGTTATTAGTTGCTAAGTCATCGACATTTTGTGGAACAGATGACACCTTTCTGCAAACTGGACAGACTAATTCACGTAAGTCTTTCTGGGAGATCATCTTTGTCACACAGTCTTTACAAAAGGTATGTGCACACTTGGGAAGTATCTTTGGCTCACCCAAGAGTAACTCGAAGCACAGAGGACAGCGTAGCTCCTCGTCTGATAGTGACAGTTTCAGGTATTTCGCTTTCGGAGGTGAATCCATGATTCATAGAATGTGTCAACAAGTCTTCCTCGATCCAAACGCGTAGAGCGGCTGAATGGCGGGAATTACGATCGCAAAGCGTTATGGGTCATTTTTTGCAAAAATTACCCTTTTTAAAAAAATATTATCGTATTCATTCATCTTTAAATCTTTTTAGTTGGCGCGGACTTGTTCTTTTCTCACCTGTGTAATTGGGTGACTCTTCTCTTCAGTCATTCACATTTTTCAGACCATTTAAAACATTCTGAGATCATAGTAGCGGGAAAACCGCAAAGCATTAGGGGATGCTTTTGTTCATCGTTGATTTTCACACCTGTACCGGAAGTGTATACATCGAATTTGTGACAATGTAAAATCAAGTGTAGAGTCATAGTTAGTAATATATAAGATTCTAACAAATCCTCCTCGATTTTAAAACAAGTCTCTACCAATATCTTCTTGATGTCTTCCAAAAAGGTAAAATTTTAAACTATAATATATATAAAATTTGTTTTACGGGTGATCTTCTAAGGGTACGAGACATCAAACCATAAACAATCGAGATATGAATTTAAATCAGTCAGTGAAATTGAAATCTTTTGACGGTCGCTCGCTTTTTCGTTTATCTTTTTTCTTGAAAATATCCAGTCTAGGAAATTTTAAAATTCATCTTGTTCCTTTCATTTTGATCGTAGTGATACGGTTGGTTTAGACCAAAAAATGGAGTTTTCAGTTGACAACAAGCGCCCGTTTCCGTACTCATTTCGAAACGCTTTAATGTTAATAAACATTTTGATGAAGCTAAAAATATACTTAACAAGAACAGTATGTCATTTATTCGACATAATAACAATTCTTTGAGTTTGTAATTTCAAAATTTGATGCTTCTTTTTAGAGTGAGGTCTTATCGAAGGAAAATTAGCTTTTCCTCACTGATTTGCATATTCCGGAGTGTCTAGAGGACGTTCCCAAGTCATGGATAGGTTGCCTTGTAAACTTAATTTACAGTCGCGAGGAATAAAACGTTTCAGTAACGCTGGGATGCGTCAAGTTATTGATTTTAAATATAAAAGAAACCAAGGCAAAATTTGTGTTATGAAACCGTACAAGATTATTTGATTCGCGAATCTGACACTACAGCTGACGGTGGGCTGTGTAAACGTGTTAAATAGTTTAAATTGCAGTCTGACGACAGATTATGGATCATACATTATCAAAAACTTTACTCAGTTATCAACATTTCTCGAACAACAAAATTACAATAATTGCCTGATAATTGTAATTGTAATTGTGTAGTAAAAAATTGTAATAAAAAAGACTAAAAGTACAGAGATCAATCAATAATCTTCCTCTTCATGCCTAGTGGCACATAGAACCTTAAAAAGTGCAGAGACATTATATGAATTATATCTTTACAGTGCATTTGCAATGCAAAGTTGGATCCGATTTTCGCGTTATACTGTTCGGCTTCGTCAGATGATATTTTAAAAACCGCACAGAATTTCTGATATTATACTCAACCTTATCCAATTGCTAATTACATTCGTTTCTTTAACACTTGGCTATATACATCTGCTTTGTATGGTTTTACAGTTAATCAAAGTAGAAATGAAAGATTAGAAACAGTAAATAGCGGAAAATGACGAAGGGACAGGTATGTTTGTTTCAATTCAACATCAGTCATCAATCCATAAGCGGTTGTACGCAAAGACATAAAGTCATCGAAGAGAATAGCATAAGTAAGGGAGTAAAAGTCGGTGTTGCTGCGCAGAGGCTGAAGAGGGCATCACCCGATCTTAGATGATGACTATCCCCTCCCACACGATTTCTTGCTGATCACTAGCTGTTCACAGAGGAAAGGTGATGATCATCATTGATTCATGAATCAACTTATCCACAGGTCGACTTCCCAGATATCATTAACCTAAATGTTGGTGGGCATTATTATATCACAAAACGATCCACGTTAACTAAAGACAATGAGTCCATGCTCGCGGCTATGTTTAGTGGTCGACATACTAACGATAAGGACAGCGAAGGACGATACTTTATTGATCGCGATGGGACGTATTTTGGCTACGTTCTTAACTTTCTAAGAGACAATCTTGAGATGCCACCAGCGTCCGTCGCTTTACAGGTATTTAGGTTTTGTTGAAGTGATCAGTAAAATTTCCCCCTATTTTCCTGCCAGACCAAAATCCATGAACTCAATCAATGACAATGTTTTCTTTTTTCGAGGCAAGATCTATCGACTCTCAGCAGTGTCAGTGCCGTCTTGCTCTTTCTGTTAAAAAAATGTGCGTTAACTGCTCTTTTGCTGCTTCCGCTGTTTTAAATTCTTTCATCTTCCTTTTCGGAGTTTCTTAAATTTTTCTATCCTGTACGTTTCATTTAGTTATCATCAACAAGAATTAATTGGAAATCTGTTATTTGTTTTCTTTTTTTAGGTTTACAAAGAAGCACAATTTTATCAGATCAGAAGTTTGATTGAGAAACTCGAGCGAAGTGCACAAATATTCGCTATAAAACTCGACGAGGCAAAGAAGTCGCGCCTGGGCAACTCATTCACGAAGTGGAAAAACACCATTGTTTCAAAAGCTCAGGAAAAGAGCTTAACAAACTTAACGTCATCCAGTAGGATCAATTTTATTTCAAAAGATGATCACAATTCACTCGTAAATCTAACTGATTGCTTGGGAGAAATGGAACACTTCATCGTGATTCGTTCTGAAATCGAGAAAAATTTACCAGTTCAAGATCAAAGCTTCGAAAGCTTACGAAATCGACTAGCGATCGACCCTGATGTTATCGTAGATATCGCGCAAAGTGACATGGGAATGTTTGTAGGAACTCTTCAAGAGGACCTTAATCGAGAAGGATATTCGTTCAAAATCTGGACAAGCCAAATGTGCTGCAAAAACGTGAAAAGGATTATGAATGTGTGCGTTGAGAAGTGCGAATTAAGTGCAAATGAGTATTTTGTCCAATTTGAATGGGGTTTGCCAAAAGAAGAAAATAAGTATGAGAATAATGATTCATAAATAACGTTGATAACTTGATAAAGGCCGTCGACTGTACAGAAAAAAAAAACATTAGACTTGCGCCTGTTCTGACAAGACCGTTCAAATTGCTCGATAGAGTAAAATCCGTTCAGCTACCCTGGATGATCTTCGTCAACTTGTTCTGCCGATAGGCGACATGGGTTTTACTGTATTTCGCGATTTGATCAAAGAAAATGTCTGTCGTTGTGATAGAGTAAAAAAAAATTCCTGACACCAAATATTGCATTTATCCTAATAATACTGGTGACTAAACGTCTATACTTAAATAACACACAAAAAATTGGCTTAGCAAACTCCAAATATTTGTTCTTATCCTTTTCTTTATTTTTTAAAAGTAAATAAACGTGTTTTTCACATCCATTGCCGTCTGGTCAAAGCTACAATAAAGTACATGTTAGTTACTGAATGTTTTGAATGTCCATTACTCCTTTGTCCCAGTTCTTCTGAGTTTCAAGGTCATTCTGGATTCCTTGTTCTTTTCCAAAGGCAAATCTTTTGGCTGCCGGCGTCTGCGCCATGGCCTGACCCAACTGGTAAGCTTCAACCTTCAATCCTTCGCCGATGGGAGTATCAACTGCTGCAAAAATGCACTTTTTGCAGGCTGCAATAGAACCAGCAGGAAACTTCGCAATACGGTTGGCAAGTTCTTCAACAAAGGGTCCAATTTCGTTTGGATCCAATGCACGGTTGATGGATCCATAGCGTTCCGCTTGATCAGCATCGAAGTCATGAGCTCCGAGAATGATTTCCATTGCGCGACCCATACCAACTTGACGAGCTAAGCGCTGGGTTCCACCACCACAGGGCACTATTCCCATTCCAACCTCCATCTGCATGAATACTGCTTTACCTCGTGCTGCAAACCTCATATCGCAGGCTAACATGAACTCGTGACCTCCTCCTCGTGCCATTCCTTCAACTTTGGCGATTGTAGCTTGTGGAAGGCTGCTTATACGCTGCAGTACTTCCTGCAGATACAAAATCGGTTCCGACATTTTTCTTTCTTTTGCAGGAATCTCACAGAGCATGTCAATGTCGGCATGGCAGACAAAGATGTCGGGATGGGCCGACTGGAAGACAACAACTTTAATCGAACGATCTTTCTCCAGTGCTTCTGCTAACCGGTTAAGGTCATCCAGCATTGGTTTTCCTTGTACATTGACTGGTGGAAAGTCGTATGTAACCCACGCAACACCACCCTTGATTTCAACTTTGAAAGTTTTGTACCCTTCGTACGCCATGTCTAGATGATTATATATTCACTCCGGAGAAATGTATATTATGTCACGCATTCCCAATGAGTACATTTACCGCAATTGATTATTAAAATGAATACCAACGCACAATAAACTGATGTATTGCAATTAAGAGCAACGTTATACAAAGAAACAAACAAGGTGCGCAGTTTCAAAGTATATTACTTTCAGAAAACATTTTCTTTATTTTCAGTGAGCCGTGGATTGAAAGAAGTACTAATTCATTTTGGTCAGAATTTCCACGGCTAAGTAAACAAACCCCAATACATACATTTTTATACTTTTAATAAGTGAGAAGTAGTGACGAGAAATTGTAACCTTCCCAACACCAGCCACGGAATTATCGTCACTTGCAACAGCTCGCTGCACATTCAGATTCGGTTGTTAAAAATAAATAGAGGTTGTATTCTGTATGTTCAATGACCGTGCATTTTTATCAAGCAAACAAGGATTTGCATTTTAGAGTAGAATCCAGATCTTATGGGCGTGGTAGGTTAAGGTTGGTTATAGAGCTCAACGATTAAACGGCAACAGTTACTAATGTTTATCAGATGGTAACTTTGATATTTACATTAGGAAAGGTTTGACCCAACTCTTTTGGTAATGCGTCAGTTCTTTGCGAGAAATTCTTAGTTTTTACTAAGCGTCACACCAGCCATCTTGGAGAAACTTCAACAAAGTATTTTTCATTAGTGTCTATTGTTTATATCTCCAACATTGCCGCCGGTCTTATATTTTGTATCTCATGGGAATGGTTGAATACGATCAATTCCACGTCATGACTACAGTCATTCCCACGTTATAATGTTATAAAGACAGCAACGAAGCATTTTTTCACAAGATTATTAGTTTCGACATCAAGTTGTAAAACGTCTTCATGCAATGAACATGAAAATGAATGAAATTCTTCCCAAGAATTAATAAAAATATTTATACAAATGGTGTAGTTGTTGCCTTTACAACTATACAACATTATGGGTTTGCCTCTATGTATTCTTATTAGTGATTGCATTTCCAAATATTCTTGATTTATATAACTTATTGCAGCCATTATCCCAGTCTTATAATTGTTATTGTGCTTGTTCAAGAAGCAGCCTGTGGTTGTCCCGTTGTTTGCTTTGTTACAACTCTCGTTCTCTTTAGTCTTCTCCAATGACCAGTATCATAATTCATCTCAAACAACATTTCAACTAGTAGCGTTTGCTGACTTCCGTCTGCCGCTTGTACGTTCTCAGTGTTTTCGCTCAGTTTAATGGTAATCACAGGGCCTTGGTTGGGGAACGGTTTATCTGATGAAAAAAGAAAATCATTGATTGAAGCCAACACACWGTATTAAATTCTGACAGAGAATGAACATTATTACCCCTTGCTCCAGCCATGAAGCCCAAGATAAGAGCCTTCTCAGCTCGGCTTACGCGGTTTGCATTCTTAAACATCTCATGAGCAGCCAGCATTTGCTCACGCTTTGAAAATAGAACAGATGAAACAATAAATTAATGAAATGATTTTAATCACAGATAATGATAGATTCAGTTAGACTAATGGGATTTAGGGGTGGATCCAGTGATGCGTGCCTGTCAGGAGGGGTTGCACCCCCACAAAAATCATTTCCAAGAAGATACATAATAAGGAAAGTATTGAAGGATACAGATCTCAGGGGGGAGGGGGTGTGCACCTCCTGCACCCACCAGCTGGATCTGCCGATGGGATAGATGGGATAAATGGCAGAAAATTGACAAAATATCACTTTTGTAATTTACAGATACCGATAGAGTTAGTTGTCTCTTGTTTTGCTGTTGTTGTAATAGTTGCTGTTGCTGCTGCTGCTGTTGTTGTTGTTGCTGCTGTTGCTGTTGAAGCTGTTGTTGAGAAGATGATGATGGATAGTTTGAAGGATTTTCCTGACCAGGTTGAAGGCTGTTTAATGGAGCTGCTGATGGTGTTAGTGGTGGTGGCTTTGATAAACCAGGTGATGGATTGTACGCTAATGATGACCCTGACGCTTCATTCCTCTTTAGCTGACGTTCTCTTATCAAACGCCTCTGCTGCTCTACTGCAGTCTAAAATACATATAAATACAGTATATAAGCATTTATAATCACTATTACTACTAGTGTGAAGCTAGTGTATCATAACATAAATGTATATTTTCTATACCTACACTGAAGTAAAATAGCGAACTAAAACAAAAACAAGAAATACTATATTTTCCTTTCCAGTTAGAATAACTGCCCTATTTTAAAGATTGCCAATATGAAGATATTTATAGCACTTAAAATAATGTAGGCTAGGCTGGTGTTAGTGATTAAGCACTAGCCTTTCTTGCTCTTATAAAAAAAAACTTTTGAAAGATTTTATCATAACTCTTGGACAATATATGCCTTTTAAAGAACAGTAAACGTTGTGCATTTACCTCAAGTTCCCTCTTAAGATTAATAGTACTATCACTAAGGTTGGAAGGAGCTGGGTTAGAGGTAGATGAAGGTGTTGGGGCATTAGGCACTGTAATAAGTCCCCTTGAAGACATGACAGCATATGACGGTGTAGGCGCTGTTGTCGTTGGTGTAGTAGGCGTTGGTGTCGCCTGACAAATAATTAATATCTTTAGCACAAAGCCATGCAGATCTTTACTGGACATATACTTTCACAATTAACATTATTGACACAAAGGAAACAAGAAAATAAGAAATATGCGAAATATATTAGTTTTGTTTGATCTTCATTCGCATCACTAATGAAAAAAATGAAATCATATGCACCTTAGTTTGTGTTGAAAGAGGTTGCAATCCAGCAGCATATTCAGGTGTTGCTGGTTCCTGTGGCTTTGCAGCTTCAGTAGACTTCTTTTGCTTTGCTTCTTCAGCTTGTTCAGCATCTGTGACAGGCCAAAAATATTCCATAAGCCATCATTATGAATTTATGAAAACTAATTTGGCTATCCTTACATGTTTGACAGAAAATCTGACAGAAAGTTCAAAACTGTCTACCATAACTGATATGTTATATAGCAAGTACTTCATCCTACCTGCTAGTTTCTTTCTTCTCTTGACTTCTCTCCCACCTCCAATAGGTTGTTCATTAATGTCAAGTAGCTGAGGAACAATTAGCAAAAGGATGACATACACTATTATAACAGTTGTCTCCATTTCCCCAAATTTAAATCAATGAAACAATTCATGAGCAAACAGTAGACAGACCTTAGTTCTACCATGTTGTTTTAATGTTGCTGCAGATATAAGGCTTCTTGAGGAAGATGATGCACTTGAATTGAGACTTCTTGGTCTATGAATGGGTCTTGTTGTTACACGTGCTGTAAAATGTAAAATACAATTTCATTGAAGCCACACGCACATTACAGAAAGACAAACAAGACAAATGTAATCATATCTAAATATAATAATTTTCAAAGAGAGTTAAAAACATTACTTACAGGGAGGTTCAAACTTTTTCACTGGGGATTGTAGTTTATGAGAGGAGCTTGATGTTCCACTACCTTTCTTTTGAGCAGAGAGGGCTTCACTTGCTAAAAATAAAAAGAGACATGGCCTCACATATGAATCATAGGGAACGTCAGGAGGCATTGATGTTGTATTCATCTAAGTTTGCTGTTTGATCAAATACAGTCCAGTTAACAATCACAAATGGATGTTATTTGAGTTGATTTTGACTGTTATAAACTTCTATCCATTTCCACTAACAGTTTTGCTTCTTGTACAATGGTTCTCCTTTCTCAGTAAAAATCATCATTGAGTTGAGTTGAGGAATGATTGGTTATTGTAGTGAGTAAGTGTGAGTGTTTTTGTCCTATGAAACATCACTTTTTGTAAATAGATGTGTACATTAAAATTTTGTAATTATTACAATCATTAATATTATCATAAAAATAACCATCATCATTATTGCGATCAACATTTCTTGATATTGGTATTTGCCAACAAACATGGCTGCCGGACCCTTCTAATATCATCATCATCATCACAGACTATACTACCTTTTTGTAAAAGCTCAGCTCTGAGAGCTGCTGATTTTGGTTTTCTTCTGAGTGTAAAATGCTTTGGTAACACAGGTTGTTGACCAACCACTGAATGAAGAGCCATCTTGTTCAAGTATGTACATTCTAATGGTAAGAGATTTGAAGTGCTCTCTGTATTGGACACTATCATGAAAACAAATTATAATTATTCATAATTTTACATTAAAAATCTTTTATTCTAGACATGTTTTATTGTCCTAAGAAGATGCTTCAGAATGAAATTGGGATCATTTCCAGCAACATGTACTTAAATGGACTTAGGAAATCTCAAGATCTCATAGTACAATTGTTTTGAAACAAATATTTAGTAATTAAGTTGAGTGCTGTCAAGAACTTTTAAAAAATTACAAATAACAATCAAAAATTGTACAAGAGGCTATGACGTTTCTGTTTATAGAACATCAACACCACTCTACTTCGTCTTCAGTTTGAAAAATGCTTTCATGGTAATTGCACTTTGTGATTAATGCCTAAATAATTTTACTCTTATTGAAAAGCACATTGTTGAACATCTGTATATGAAACTAAACACATTTCAGCATAAAGTTCACTCCTTGTTGCTTGTGACAAACACTCTCCGAGAACAAGAAAGTTAAGTAGTTGCTGGTTGGAAATGCTAGATTAAAGCACAGGAAGTCAAACAAAAGTTATTGCTCTAAAAGTGACTATCTAACACAAGAGACCTTTAGGTTCTGTGGATACCATATAATGATTTACTATTGCCAGAATTGTTACACAGCCAGACTATACAAAGAGATGTGCAAAGATAGCAATAAACTGCCATCTATCAACCATTGAGGTTGTTTTTAGCCACCTACTGGTAAGATCAGAATGTCTTTGTTTGATTGACAGCAGTTTATTGAATAAAAGTATAGTGCGTTTTTTTTTCTGGATTGGTTGTGTAGCGAAGTAAGCAATGGTATACAAAAACAAATTTTAAATTATAATTTCATTATAAGCTTATCTTAGAATGACCTGCACTTTCCATAAGTCTTTTCTCCTTGCCCGATAACAAAAATAGAACAATATACCTTGTTTGCCTCAAACTTACAAATTTACGATCATTTCAATTTGAGTAAAAGCTGAAGTACACTGTAACCTAATGTTTAGACTGCTTTATAAGACTTACACTGACTTCGTAGTTGTTCAGTTACTTCAGCAAACACAGGACTAGCGCCTTCTAAATGAACGTTTAGCGTCCCCGATGTTGGATAAAACTTAAGTATTTCACATAGAACTCGAACCCACTCATCTTCATCCTGAGAGCCAATTTCTAAAGTCTCACTGATATCTGCACTTGTTTCTTCTAAAACACGTCGAGGGACGTGAAGAAAAGCCATCAAAAGTTTGATTTTGACTTGAGGTTCAAGTCTGTGAAAGCATTCTGGGATATTTCGTAAGACATCGTGAGTTAAAAGTGAACGGAAACCTGGTCCAGACCAAGGATCATCAGTGGACAGCTTGTTGTTCAACCAAGATGCTGTATCCACTTGTCTCCTTACGGACGCCATGTTGGATTTTTGAATATACACAGGGTGACCGAACATTGCTATTATAAATGTTGTGTTATTCTTGTTTATATAGTCTATATTGCTTTTTCCTACAAAAAATATATATAGAAATTAAAAAAAGGAGCACAAAACAGGATACCAAATAAATAGTGAGAAGAAAATTGCGTGAAAGAATTTAGACAAGGAACGAAAAATATAAAAGATTTATAAGTTCCAGGGGGCAGAACCCACTCTGCCCAGTCCACCTCCAGTCTAAAACCAGCCGATTTAACAGCCGACCCCACTCACAAACACAGGTGCGAAAAGAACTTAAACTAAACGTCTCCGGCCGGTTTGTCGGTCATAGAAAGAAGAATGAACCTTTAGTTGAATAACAAAAGCGTTATAATGCCGTTTGGAAATCTCATAAGTGGAATATTGGTGAGTAGAATGGAGCTGACACACTCTCTCGCTGCAATGTTTTGTGACCCAAGTTCGTACTTATTAGAAAATTATATCTTTTCTAAAAATTAAGGAAATTTATAATATTTAGTAATAATACATGAAAGGTCTTTGAATCTACTGTCATCTGCTGCATATGAAGCGATTTTGTTTCTTATTTGTGAATTTTGCCAAGGTCATTGTTCCATGCCGAAGTAGGGTTGACCGTGGTTAAGTCATTGCCTAAATAATCGCGCGATAACTCCTGATTTCATATTTTGTGATTAGCTACCATTTGTTTCATAGGTTTATAATAAACCTTTATAATTTATAAACTACCGAAAGTGCTGTTACAGAAGTGAAAACAATTTGATCTTGAGATAGCTTCTCTAAATAGTTTGCGCCGTGCAATCACAGACTTCCTCCAAGATTCTAAAGACAGCCACTGATTGAAAGATCGAGGTTTTTTACAAGAGTTGCGTCTATGTTATTGAAAATTTACACACAATGTTTGGTCATGATTAATATTTTAGCCTTAACTATGGGGAAGGTGGATTTATGTTTGTGACATATACAAAAATTTAGCTACCATTTTGCAAGGACAAAGTAAGCTTCAATCGATACCAAAATTTGCAAATAATATATTTGCTAGCGGAATGTCACCTGGTAACGTCTTATATCTGCAAATCATTGTACTATTTATTTTTCGGTTATGAAGTCTGTATTATTGTGGATATCTAGATGAAACGGAGAAGATTGAATTTTCTGTTATCTAGAGTTTATTTACCATTATTGGAAAACTTTTTTTGGAAATTATTTCCGTTCATTGATCACTAAGACCGATCAAAATGGAAAATATAAGAAGACATAAGCTCTTTTCAGGTTAAAGTTAATGAATTTTTTTGTTTGTATAGCAGTGGAAGCTACGTTTACTTGAGTTCTAGGAATTCAAAGGATGTCATGGCAACTTGAAAACATTATTTGTTACTTTTAATTTTTTCTAGTGCGTCATTCATTTTACCATGTAAATCTAGTCCTTTCTTCGTTTTCAAAGCAAGAAAGAGCATTACTCGATGCTGCTAATGTTCTAGAACTTGAAAATTATTAATTATTAAAACTACCCTTGGAGATGAATAATTTGTTTCTTTGTAATGAATTCACTTCATTCAAATATCATTTTTTGCAATTTTGTTATCATGCAATTATCAAAATGTCCAAAATGTATCAACTTTCAGTTTTGTTGCTATTTATTTCTCTTCATAAATGTTTAAATAGAATAATGTCTCCAGGAAAATATTTTATTTTATTTTCTCAATTTAGCTGTACCTTTCAAGAAGTGTAATTATATATTTATACAACTGTGATATTTTTCTTATCACAAAAGTTGCTCTTCTTTTCTCCGTTGGGTGCTATAAACTCATCGTATTCAAATGTAGTGGTAGTGGTAATTTGTGGGGTGACATTTAATTTCTTTGTGTATGTTGTTTATCATAATCTCCACTATGCAATATTTTTACTGAAATAAATCATGGCAGCATGAATATTTCATTTATCTGACAATTTTAACCTTTGTAACACATAAGGCAAAATTATACACGCACTTGTTTTTTAGATAATTTGGCAGTATAATCTGATTCAAAGAGAATGTCAAACAATATCTAAAATTCATTTACTATTGCTAAATGTGTCATATTAATCCTAAATATTTTGTTTTCATAAATTCATTCTACATTCTATTCATTATTTCATTATAATTATATTTTGACTATGGACTTTGAAATCTTGGCACTGCATTTTTTTATGGAATTTATTATGTGAGGTGGAATTATATTCTAGATATTTGACCAATCAAGCTCAAAGAGTTTTATGCTCATTGGCATCATGTTCAACTGTTGTTTATAGTCCTTGATCAATATATCAAATTAACTTTCATCTCTTAAATCGAAATTCAAACTATGAATTGAAAAGAAATTTTACCTAAAAATAGAATCTTTGACACATTGGAATATTTTGTAGCCATAATATATATTTTATCAAAGTTATTGCAGAACTCAGCATGTAAAATGCTAAGGTGATTTGTAGCATGGTCATATCATTATGACTCTGTTATAATTACTGCTCAAATTCATTGTTCAAAAAATCCTTTTTGCAAGAAAAGAAAATACTTTTATTGTTATTCTGAAAAATATTTTTATAAATAGAAAGTCTAGAGTTTTTGTATTATTGATTCTTATCTCTTCCTGCTAAGCACGACACGTTAATGGCAAATATAGTGCACCCTTCAGGCAACTCCTGTGTTTCCAGGATTATTGTTTTGACAGATAAGAAATAATGACTCAAGATTTTATTACAAATAGGCAGGTTTTTTTAACCCCAGCTGAAGTCCCTTTCTTTTTGTTTCAACCCTCATAGACATGAAAACAGGAATCCCAAAGTTGGGAATAGCCTGTGCCTATAAAATTAAGGTGTTGTTGATGATATTGAATTGAATATTGAAAGATTGAATATTGTTTGAATTTCTAGGGCTAAAGTTTGAGGTTCTTGAATAAATCCTAAAATTTGCACATTTCTAGCACTGTTATTCAAAGGACATTGCAATCTTAAAATTATTTTATCCAAGCAACAAATACAACAAAAGCTTATTATACTTTTAGATATTGATGTTTGTTTGTTTGAACATTATATTCTGGAATAAGAATTCATCTATTATGTAGTATTAATAGTTATTGTGCTGTTATTGTTATCTTAGGATCATCTTCCGCTGATAGGAGGAAGGCGTAGACAACATCAAGATGAATGGCGTACTGTTTACGTTCACAACCGTTACCCTAGCAACGATCCAGAAGTAGAAATTAAACAGAAACATTATGCAGACAATGAACTTTTAACTTCTAAGGTTTGTCAATTCCTTTAATTATTAAGCATTTCCTTTTAGCTTTAGACAATTTAATGTCGTCTTATTTAATGTTACTTATTTGATGTATAAATTTCATTTTTAGTATACTTTGTGGAACTTTATTCCTAAAAACCTGTTTGAACAGTTTAGACGAATAGCAAATTTCTATTTCCTTTGTATTGGATGTGTTCAGGTAAGACATATAATATTGTTTTGATTGCCATCTTGCAAATAAGTTTAAAACAATGTACTGTACATAGGATATTAATCTCTTTTATATTATAATTGAAAAAAAAAGATTTTTGTATTTCACTAAAACTTAGCTGAAACCTCTGCAACGTGGTTTCAAGAGGCATTTTGACAATCTAACTGAAATATGATCAATTTTTCAGTTATTGATAGACAGCCCAGTGAGTCCTGTTACAAGTATTCTTCCTCTTTGTTTTGTTATAACGGTTACTGCTATAAAACAGGTAAAATAATAATACACCTACTTGCGAAATCGTTGTCATATAGAAAATAGGACATTTGTATTAAGTAAAAAAGGAACAAATTAAAAAGACAAAAGAAGATCACTGAGGCTGAACGCTCTCTTTTGTCTTGTTTTAATTTATTCCTTTTTACTAAATTCAAATGTTCTATTTTCTATGACAACGTTTCTGCAAGAAGGTGTATTGTAATAACATAATATTGTTAACAAACTGCACATTGAAATTGAGTCAAGTTAAAATGCATAATTTACAAAAAAAAAACATTTAATCTGGCTAACATAAAGAATTGTGTTTCCTCGTGTTTCCACATTTTTTTACCAGCATTGGACCCAGGTCATTCACAAGTGTGTGCACTCCAGAAAAAATATTCACAAAGGAAACTAAAAATAATAAATGAAGCATTGCAGGAAATGTGGTCTCAGGAGTCACCAACTGGAAGCATTGTTGAATGTTAAGATGTTAAAGACATAAATAATAATTATTAGAATTACTCAGATTACTTCATTGGTGAATAATTGTATTATGTTATATAGGCATATGAAGATTATCTCAGGCATAAGGTAGATAACGAGGTGAATAACAGACCCTGTCGAGTTGTCATTAATGGTAAAGTGGAAGATGTACCTTCTAAAAGCATCAAGGTATTGGAAATAATATGTGTTTATAATAGTTCTACCAACAAACCTTCAAGTAACCTGATTCAGTATGATGAATGTTTAACTGCATTGGTCCTACCTTGGACATAGGTTGGTGATATAGTAAGAGTCAAGGACAATGAAGAATTCCCGTGTGACTTGGTGGTTTTATCATGTGAAGACCCTGATGGTGTTTGTTACATAACTACTGCCAACCTTGATGGTGAAACTAATCTTAAGGTGAGCAATACATTATTTAATTACTGACTGACTAATTGATCCGTCAGTCTATGAAATTATATACATATTCCATTCATTTATTTCTCATTCATTCAATTCCCATTCATTCAATTCCCATTTGTTCATTGCTCATTATTCATTCTCATTTATTAATTGTTCATTCATAGGTACGGAATGCAGTATCTTCAACTACTAAACTCCAAACACCTCAAAAACTGGACGATTTATCAGCCACAGTAGAATGTCAGCATCCACATGAAGACTTATATAGGTAAGGCCCTTACTGCAAAATGTCTTTAACAAGAAATTGGAATCAGACAGTTATAATAATAGATGCAGTCAATACAAATCAAAAAAGCTTTATAATAATGAAATAATCTGACATCTTTATTTTCATTGCTGTAGTTATTCTGGAAGAATGATTATTAGTAGACGTTTCAGTGAAGGAGAAGCTCCTGACATCAAGTAAGAAAACTGTCCTCTTTGCTATTTTAGACAATAAAAAGTAACAATTATTATATTAGTTGTCTATATTTAGGAAACTCTTTTTTTATTCTTTATAGATCACTTGGCCCTCAGAATCTTCTTCTAAGAGGGGCAAGATTAAAGAACTCTGACCATGTTTTTGGTAATACTATTAAATCACTGGACATTGTAGCAAAATATTGATCCTTTGTAGTTTGTTTGAATCTTTTGTCATTATCAAACATTAACTACTGGACCACTGGTTATATCATAACCGACCAATAACTACTGGCCGACCAGTTATATCATCACCGACCAGTAACTACTGGACGACCTGTTATACGTCCATAACCAGCCAAACACTTATGGACAGCCAGCTATACCATAACCAACCAGTAACTACATCTACTACAATTTATATCTTTTTCAGGTGTTGCTGTTTATACTGGAAAAGAAACAAAGGTAGTCATTTACAAGAAAATAAATTATAATCAAAGCTAAATAATCAAGATGCTTATGAATCATGCAAATAAACACATCATCTATGTATGATTATATTGAGTTTTCGTATTGTTTTAGATGGCACTAAATCAAGCAGAAGCTCCTCACAAGTTTTCTACAGTTGAAAAGTTAGTATTACAACAATATATTAATTAAAGATTAATATGCTGAAAGTACAAAAGCAATACTTTAAAGATATATATGTTCAAGCTGCTAAATTTGGCTAAGTTAATGCTTTATGTAATATACAATATTCGCGGGCGATCTGTATGAGGATTTATTGTATATTACTTATGAAACGTTAAGGTAAATTAGCTCAGGTTTTAAAGAAACTTTTGAAAAAAATTCAATCTGACTGAGAAAATCAGAGTAAAAGTTTATACAAATGAACAAGAAATCTGTATGTAATATACAACTCTCTTCATGGGCTATGATTTCTATTGTGTTTTGCCTTATGAATATTAATGAGTTTTATAATGTTTAATCATAAATTGATATGTTAGATAATCTTATATAATTTCCAATTATTTGTCAATCCATAATCATCTCCACTCTAGGACAATGAATGCCTTTTTGGTTGTATTTTTAATTGTCCTGGTTCTCCAAGCCATGTTGTGCACTGGTCTAAAGTACTGGACAATTAGTACAACACGGGGATCTGCACCTTATGCTGGGCCTGAGTCAAGTGCTACAGTAGGTTTTCAGTCATTTTGGACTTCCTTTTGCTAGTGTGTATTGACATTCTGTATTTTGTTTGTTGCAGTTTAAGAGAGTTGTAGAGAACTTTTTGATTTTCTTAATTCTCTACAATTATGTGATTCCTATATCACTGTATGTTACAGTCGGTAAGTAGATTCTAATATAGAGTTATTATAATATAAATCTTAAATAAATGATATGATAATAATAATATAATAATAATTAATATAAATTAATCTTAAATTATCAAATTAATCAAAAATTTTCATTTACAGAATTGCAAAAATTTATTGGTGCCCTATTTTTTGTATGGGATGTTAAAATGTATAATGAGGTAAGAAAACATTTTTTGCTGGAATAAAAACCATTGTGATATCATTAATATATTGACTGTGTAATTTACTTATGTAAAACGTGTGTGTTATTTTGTAGGACACAGATGAAAAAGCCATAGCGAATACCTCAGATTTAAATGAAGAATTAGGACAAGTTAGTTTTTGTGCTGATTTTGTCATGATTTTTTCAATAAGTGCTAGTCTTTAATGCACTTCTAATATTCTTTTTATTTTATTTTTTTTTTAGATTGAATACATATTTACAGATAAAACAGGAACTCTAACTGAGAATGACATGCAGTTCAAAGAATGCTCCATCAATGGACAAAAATATTGTGTATGTGTCCAGTTCAACCTATCATTCTCTTGGTTTTCTTTCCTGGCATACCATTAATCCTTTTTCCTTATAGGAAGAGGAGATGCAGTTGTTTGTGGATGGACAAGACACTAATGTCCACGTACAACAGTGTTCTGTAAGTTAATGTGCTAATCAGAAACAGAACAGATAGTAAAGTACAAGACAAATATGGATAAAAAAATCATTTTGAGAAATGGAAACTATTGAAATTTCTTCATTTGAATTATTTGAGTTATTCTCAATAAGATGTTGTTGCTTTATTTCAGCAAGATGTGCTGGATTTTTACATTGCCTTATCCCTGTGTCACACTGTTCAAGCATCCCTAGAGAAAGACACTAGTTCATTTTACAAATACCATTACCAGGTAGGTTGGCAAGAGACTCCAGTAGTTATATAAAATGATCAGGTTAATAACGTAATAAGCACTATTCTAGTAAAGAATTCTCATTCAGTACTTTACCAGTATTCCTGTTCAATTATGTAATATAATACTTAGGACTTGACAAATTGACTTTTAATAACTCTTTTGTTCAAAGGCTTCATCACCAGATGAGAAGGCACTTGTAGAGGCAGCAGTCAGGTAGGCTATTAAAACAGACTGAGCACCATATCAATCAATGCATGTCTCAATAACTATCAAACTATATTGTAGATTTGGTGTTGTGTTCCAAGGAAAATCTGGTGATGATATGGAGCTTGATATATTAGGCAACATCCACAAGTAAGCATGTAGTGACATCACTTTGCTTCTCATTTTTCAACCCTGACTTGTCACCAACTTGGTCGGTTACTTTCTCACTCAAAAAATCTCAAATTCACAAAGGAATGAAAAGCTTCCATACTTTCAGTGTAATGTATAAATGATATTTCTTGCTTCCCTTGCAGATTTACACTTCTACATGTATTAGAATTTGATTCAACTAGAAAACGAATGAGTGTCTTTGTCAAAACACAAGAAGGTATTTTAACCTAAAAGATGATATATCCCATTCTTTTAGTTTTTTGATATCATTGGCCGGGATAGTTATTGGTATAAATTGCTTTTGAATCCTATTAAGTTACGCAGTTCATACAATTCAGTTTGTAGTAATTTTTTTTTATGTTGTTAGATGTTGTCAGTTGAGTTTTTTGATGGCATCTGTTTGACTCCATTATCAGTATCATTAGAAAAAGTCACTAAGATTCACTTTGCAATTAAACAATGTTTTGTTTATTTTATCAGGTAAATATTTGCTACTGACAAAAGGTGCTGAGACTGCTGTCTTAGATCGTCTCAGGAGTGGTCCACAAGACGTCACTCAAGATCATGTAGATGGCTATGCAGAGGTGAGAAATAGATATTACACCACTTGAGAAGGGAAGAGAATGCTTTCTGAGGTTTTTAAATCAAAATTTGTTAACAATTTCTTTAATTTTTCTACTCATAGAAAGGACTTCGAACTTTGGCCATAGCCCAAAGAGAATTCACAGAAGAAGAATATTTGGATGCTGATGCAAAGGTTTGAATATAAACTCAATTGTATTATTAATTTATACGATCACAATTTATCTTTTATGTAATGATATTTTTTTAGATTTCAAACATATATTATTCTATGAGAGTCTAAGAAAAAATATCAGTTTTAGTTGAACCTGACAATTCTCTTAATCGCATGTTTCCAGTCAGAATCTTCATTACCCTAAATTATACAATTTTCAGTGTAAATGTTCTTTCTGTTGAGGGAATAATAATGACTTATCATTGAGTTTATTTGTTATTCAGCTCACCAAAGCACAACAAGCAATTAATGACCGTGAGGAACAGGTGAGTTTTGATAGGAGACGGTTTCTTGGCTCTTATTGAGAAAAAAAAACAAACAACCAAACAAAAAATTGGTGTATGTCTTTTGTAGCTTGCCACTGTGTATGATGAAGTTGAAAGAGATTTGCATCTCCTTGGAGCCACAGCTGTGGAAGACAAGTAAGTCTACTTTTGAAAGAAAATAAAAAATGAGAATGAATGAACACAAGAATGGAATAAAGTAATGTTTTATACAATGTGACATTTCAGACTTCAAGATGGTGTGCCAGAAACAATAGAAGCCATGAGAGAAGCAGGAATAAAAGTAAGCACTTTGTTGGAGGAGGGGGGCAGAGGGCAAAGGGATGGAGAGGGCATTATTTTAGGGGACAGGGAATATATTGTCAGGAGTGTTTTGATTTTAGTGAGTATGCTGTCTAAAATTGAACTGTTTTGTTTTAGGTCTGGGTTTTGACTGGAGATAAACAGGAAACAGCTGTAAATATCAGCCATTCATGTGGACATTTTAAGGTAATGTTGTTTTAATGTTGATACATTATTTTAAAACCAGGCACCCTGAGAATAATAATTGAAATGGTAAAATGATTTCAAAGAAAGTGATGGATGATAATGGATGAAGTTCATGATGTTGATTGTTGATAATAATTATCATGATGGTGATAACAGTGATGGTGAAAGTGATGTCTTTAATGGTTTGATTACAGCATGGTATGGATTTAATGTTTGTCGTCAAGAAGAATTCACCAGAGCAATGCGAAGAAGCATTGATGCGCTATAGGGATAAGTAAGCAACAATTTCTTATCTTCCTTTATTATTGTATGAATTAATACACATTCAACAGACAAATATTCATAAGGATATTGTAAAGAGTTGGAGCAACTATGTACTTTACCTTTTAGAGTTCAAAACAAGTCAAGCAGCAATATTTTTGGTTTGATTGTTGATGGGCGTAGCCTTGGACACGTCTTTAATGGACACAAAGGTATGATCTTAGTTTTTTTCCTTTTCTCCCTTTTTTCCTCTACCTTTCTCTTCCCATTCTCCTGGTATTTCTCCCTATGTATGTTCAGTGATCATAAAAAAATTTTTGGTATTGTAGAACTTTTTAAAGAGGTTTGTCGTGAATGTGTGGCAGTATTATGCTGTCGGATGTCACCACTCCAGAAAGCCCAGGTAATTCACTTACATTATTATTATTATTATTATTGATGAAAACAACTTGTCATAAATGTTGAAAAAATTACATTTATTGATTACAACTATTACTTGGCAGACATAATATTACCATAATGATATGATAATGATGCCAGCATGTGACTCATAATCGTGCATAATGACATCATGTTTATGTCCATATTAGGTCGTACAGATGATGAAGACATCAAGAGAGAAACCTGTTACCTTGGCAATAGGGGATGGTGCTAATGATTGTGGGATGATACAGGAAGCCCATGTAGGGATAGGTGTTATGGGTAAAGAAGGCAGACAAGCCGTCATGACAAGTGACTACGCTATTTCTAGATTTAAGTTCTTATGGAGAGCTTTGCTTGTCCATGGACATTATTACTACATACGCTCATCTATCTTGGTACAATACTTCTTTTATAAAGTAAGTTTATATGAAACTTTCCCTTTTAATTTGTTTTGATTTATTCTTTTATTTGTTTTAAGGATTAATAAGGGTACTTTTTCTACCTTGCAGAATGTTTGCTTCATCACACCTCAGTTTTTCTACTCATTCTTCAATGCATTCTCAGGACAGGTGAGTTGATGTAGACCTTTATGTAGCTAACAGTGGTGATGGTAAATTATGGGTTGATGTTGATGAGTAAAGAGCGATAATGATGAAGATGATGATGGTAAACATGTTGATAATACTTTTATGTATAATGATGTTGATTATGTTCATGTTTTAACTGATAATGATGAATTCAATATTTTTATACAATTCTATTTTTTTTGTTTTCAGCCATTGTATCATGGATTCTTCTTAACATGCTACAATATCTTTTTCACTTCAATACCAATCCTTGTATATGGTGTGTTTGAACAACATTTAAAATCAGAAACACTTCAATCAAGGCCACATTTGTATAAGTAAGTTCTGTCTCTCAAACGACATCTTCCAAGACTTCAAATTTATATTGATGTTATTTTTAATTATCTTTATTATTTAAGCTTTTTGTGTCTTTTGTTTATATTACATCCAACTAAAGTTACAGAAAATATTAAATTACTTCATGTATCAGACAACTTACAGTCAACTTCAAAAATATCCACATATTTCTTTTTATTTTTAGGGATGTCTCTTTTAATAGTCGTTTATCATGGAAAGAATTTATATACTGGATAGCATCAGGTAATGGATCTCTTGGCTTTCTATTGTTTGTATAGTATAATATATCAAATATGTGTTTGGTCTAAACTGATGTTACCTCTCTATATTAGGGTATTGGCATTCTATTGTGTTCTTCTTTGGGGGTTATCTGATGTTTCACAGTGAAATGCTTGGGGCAATGGTGAGTAAGAGTCATACTTATCCTGTTAGTAATCAAATTGTTATTTCAGTATTTACAATTGAGATTCATTGTTCAAAGTTTAATTACCGTATTAGAGACACTAGAGTACAAACACTAAAACTGTGCAACATAAATACCACTAAATACTGCTAAATTATGCTAATTCTATTGCTAACACTATTTTGTAGTAAATAGTGGAAAGTGTTCCACACATTTAATGTTTGTACTTTAATACTACTAAAAAAATACTGCTACTGATATTGAAGATAATACTGCATATAATTATGTCTTAACATACTTTTAATTTGCATATAGGAAAGGTAATTAATGGCTAATATCTCATTATATTTTCCATTCAGAATTTTAGTTTGTGGTCATTTGGAACTTTTGTATTCATGGTGTGTGTCATTGTTAGTAATCTAAAGGTAAGTTAACAAATGTTGATTGTATAAATGCATCATTTTACGACAAACACAGTAAATAATAACAATATTCAACTACACAGTATGGTGAATGGATGTTTCTTCTCTGTTGTGAAAAAGAGCAATAATTGAACTAATAACTGTGTTCTATTTTCTTCCATTAGCTGGCTTTAGTTACACATTATTGGACATGTTTAACTCACATTGGTATCTGGGGTTCTATTCTAACATTCTTTGTGTTTGCTGTAGTTTTTAACAGCAGTATGTGGTAGGTGCACTTCGACTTACCTTCTTTCATGAATAGCAAATTACAAAATTATTCAGAATATTCCACATTTGACTTCAGTCAGTATAACAGCAAGACTAGTGTATGAAATGCCATTTTTCAGCAGTTACATTGATAAAATTGATAACTAGAAATTTAACTCTCATTTTATGATATATTTTGGATTACAATGGTCAGAGTTTGCAATTCCTCTACAGTTAATTCACATTCTACAGTTTCAAGGAAATCTAATATTGTATTAAAATAACAATATAATGGTTTTAGGATTGGCTTCCAAGAAACGTTTGGTGGTGAAGTGTCAGCTGACATGTTCAGAGTGGTTTTTACATTGCTAAATGACGGCATCACTTGGCTTGGAGTGCTTTTACTGGTGTTTATATCACTTTTACCAGACATGGTTGGAATGATTTTCTGGAGACACCTAAGTCCTAGTGAGACACAGAAAGCACAGGTAAGAAATGACATCAAATCATGCCACTCATTACTTCAGAATGGAAAGGTCCTCTTATATAGAAATTTAACATCACAACTTGACATCACTGTTTTTCATAATGATAGGCCCTTTCCAGCTGGGGGTCACATGACCACACCTACCTTAAATCAATCAGCTATCATTATGATGTTCAGAAATGGAAAGAGCAGGTTTATGTCAGTAAAATGGCAAAGTCTCAAGTCTCAACTCTAAATACTTCAAAAATGTAAAATATTGATTTTTCTAAAGAAAGCCTTGCTCTCCAGTTCTGTTTATGCATATGTTTCTTAAGAAAAAAAAAGATTTTATATTTGCTATCAATTTTGAAATAATCAGTGTTGAGACTTGGAACTATGTCTTCTTACTTATTTTGATCCCCTCTTTCCATTTCTGGACTTCATTTTGTCATTGCTGATTGATTTAAGGTAGGTGTGGTCATGTGACCCCCAGATGCAAAGGGCTCATTCCTATTCATTCAAACCTCATTACATAATTGTGTAGATATTAAACATCTTTTCTTTCTGAAGTAATGGTATTATTGTTATGATGGAGGTTGGAGATAGCAAACATCTAGACAACCAATTTCCAATTTTGTTAATAAACCAATTAAATCACCAAACAAAAAAATATAATACATTGCTCTCCCATCTCCATCATGATGTAAAGCTGTAAAAGTGTTTTAGTGTGATTTGTTTTGCTAATAAAACTAATAAAGAACTAATCTTTTTTTAAACTCCTCCATTAGATAAAACCCTGTGATTGATTAGACATTTTACAAAATAAATGATTCATGTGACTAACCTATTCAAAACCTCATAATTATTGGATTGACTGGTAATCTGTGCAGTCAATCATTTATTAATAAAAAAACCTTTGCTACTTGTACATAGATCTGCCAATATGATTGGAGGAGCATAACTGAGAAACCTATGAATGCATAAGCTATTTATAACCTTAATTAATGTCAGCATTCATTCATTCATGTAAATAAATGCTTTGCTTTGTGGATTTATTTTGGGAACCAATATCTACATGTATATTTGGGCAAATTAACACCAACTGACCCATAACTGCAATTATTGTAAAATATATCTATGTCTTTACATGTAACCGGCATATACTCTTATAGATTACTTTCCAATAATGCATTTGAAATGCTACTTGAATATTAAGCAAATAGTGAGGTTAAGCCTGTTGATAACTCAGATACTTTATCTGCTGAATCAGGCGCGTCGTTTTCGTTTAATTACATGTTAAAATACACACAAGTGACATAATATTTTTTTTAAAATATACTTTTACTTAATACAGAAATAATCCAATAACATTTATTGAACATTTTGGATTAAATCGACAAATTCTTAAGTGTTATATGTACATCCGTAATGTCCAGTCATATAAGAAATGGACTCCTACACTAAATGTAATTCGAGTACCGAAACTAAATTTAACAAAAGATGGAATTGACATCTTTTAAAACGTCTTGTTTGTGAACTGTTATGAACAGCTTCTTTGCTGCTAAGTAATATTAAGTCTTTTCGTATTATTTTGCTCTGACTGTTTTCATTCGTGTTTTAAGCTTGTGTTTCTTCTTTTGCTCCAACTCACGTTCATTCATTTTCTTTATTTCCTCTTGCCTTTTTTCTTACTTAAATTGTCTTTTTTTGCCCTCTTTCTTTCCCTCATTTCTTCCATATTCTTCCATCCCTCCCTAATTCCTTCCTCCCTTCCTTCCTTCCTCCCTTCCTCCCTTCCTTCCTCCCTTCCTCTTCCCCCTTTCCTTCCTCCCTTCCTTCCTTCCTTCCTGTTTCTCCCTCTCTCCCTTTATTCATTCCTGGATTCTTTCCATTCTTCCTTCCTTCATTGCTTTCCATCCTTCCTTTCTTATTTCTCTATTCCTTCCTTCCTTCAGCTTTCTTTCCTCAATTCAATTTTTTCACCTAAGCCTTTCATTCCTCCCATTTTCCTCTGTTCTATTCTCCCTTTACTTCTGATATTTCTCATCCATTCCCTCGAGCAACAATCCATCGATTCAAATGCTATTCGTGAATGGCTCACTTTCCTTCGTTCGTTCTTAATTGACTTTTTTTCGTTGAACCTCACACTCAGTCTTGTTTCCTCGCAGCTTTCTCCTGTCATTCCAGGCGGTCATGCTAAACTTGTTGGTTCAATGGACCCAGGAGAGGCGTGGTCGGGGACAGCCCGTTCTAGTATGACCACTGTCTCAAGTAGTAACACAAATACCTGGCTGTTAAGGAAAGAACCTAAGACTGAAGTTTGGACGTGAAATAACTATATTTTAGTTTAATTCATCGAAATCGTATTCGCCTTTTTTACGTCATGGAGACCTGCAAATTCTTTCCATATTCGCTGTAAAATCGTGAGCATTATTTTCTTATCTATTTATATTTCAATAATGAATAGTTTATGTTCAAATTTGTTAGCCATTTTGTTGATGTTACGTCATATGGAGACTGATCCTTTATGTGTCACAAACGTAATAATATTGTTTGCAAATATTATAATTTTTCATTTTAACTACCATGGGAGATTACCAGGAACTCGATAAACTATGATATAAGATATATATCATTTATACAATAGAAGTTACTCGACTTATCTAATTTGAAAATTGTTTTCTTTAGCGATATTATACGCAACATGTAACATCTGCACTATTTGTCAAATACACTTCTCCAGAGTGCATAACTATGTACTTCTGACTTCTCTCTTGTTAACTTTAACTAGTTTATAACTCTAAGCACTTGAATAATAATCCCTTCTGAGCTGTAATGTATGCAATAGTACAGAAATAATTAAAAAAAGGTTTTATAATATTTGTATTTGACCATTTTTCATAGGAAGTAGTACATGTAACTATAACACCACGACTTCCCATTTGCCGAGAAGACGTGCGCCAAATGAGGAGGGTTTTAGCACAAAACGTAGTGAATTAAAATCACATGATACTTTCAATCTTTTTTAGCGCTTTTTTGATTGTTTTTAAACGTTAGGCATCCATATGCTTTGGTGTTGCCTCACTAAATTATTAATGGTTAATGTAAGACATGGAGAATTCCTTGATATACATTTAAATATAATTTATTTACTGACATAATATTCTTGCACGTTGAACTTCTTTTCTATCTTGTTATGAAACTCTTTTATCATTGCCAACAGCAAGATAAACTGCATGTGTTGATTCTTRTTTGTACTCAGTGCATGGCTTTTCTATTGTTGAATTGTGAAGCATACTTAGAGCTTCAGTAAGGTTGTTGTAGAACAACCTGAGCTTTACCAGTCTCATTTACTCGGGCTTCTAGCCCACGGCAGACTTTTATTACATGTCGGCTTTTCATAAGCCTGAAAATCTTACTGTTCTACTAACTCTTTTCTATAACCTTTTTTCCTCTAACATCTTGTCTCGGCACAAAGGGATCCCAAGACACCTCGTCAAGGGACTACAGTGTACGACAGTCAAGAATAACACTTAGTGGTACAGAGTTTAACAATATTGTATATCCTCTTCCAAACTGAACATGGAGTAAGTCACCCTGACGTCACACAATTACGTCATTAGATGACGTCTTACCAGTGACATCTTTAGATATGATGTCATAACATTTTGACGTCATAGTAAACTAATATACCTCACAGCTTATTTCGTAAATCCTCGATCATAATGATCTATTGCAGTCTAAGTCTATGTCTTCTTTCATGTCTTTCTACTTGGTGTTATCTTTTAGTTCTATGTGAATGTGCGCATGATAGCCATGGTAGATAACTAATTTAATTTGTTGTGTTCAAAATAAATGTATAAACTGTTTAAACGTTAATTTAGTAAAATTTGTTTAGCTTGATGTTGTACTTAGTTGCATGTCAATTATGATATTGTGATAAAGTTTAATTTGTGTTTATTTTGTTTGTGCTATAGTGGTTTCTGTATTGTTGTTGTGAACGCGTTCGTTGTTGCTGTTGTTGTAGTGTTATTGTTGTTGCCATTGTCCTTGGTCTTTCTTGTTTCTGTTCTCGTTTCTCCCTCCATTTTATTCACAATCTTTGTCGCGACAAGCGTCTTAGTTCTATTTTCCTTTCTTTATTGTAGGTCGTTGAATACTACTCGTTAAACACAAAGCTATAGCCGCTACATTCACCACTGATGAACAACGACCTGACAAAAGCTGTATATATTCTTACAAAGACAGAATCACGACTAAAATGCACCAATATCTTGCCAACCTATCAACACGTAATTCACCTTTAAATGCACCGGATATGCTGTCTGCACATTAAGCACCTGCCAAACTATTGCATGATGGGAAGAAATAGCATATCACGTGACTTTGGTGCCAATGCTTTTCAGAAACTTAGATAATCCAAGACATCGCATGTTGATATTTTATAGCATAAGTCAGCAAAAAATGGTCGTTAATCTATAGATAATGAAAGTTCACTTTGTTGATGGCTGCAGTGAAATTTAGTACATTCAAACTAATAGTAATGACGATAGATCAGTGAATTGATCAGAAATTATAATCATGATTTCAAATGACATTTGTAGATATGACTGTTTTAATAGAATAATTCAGATGTTTTATAGTATTGTATGGAATTATTCCTTCGTGAGTTTTGTATATCATTCTCTATTTGGTACTCCAGTAGGAATATTACTCGTCTCAGCACTTCCAGGTTTTTTTGTTTGTTTGTTTTTCCCTCAAGCAGTTTTCTAATGATGCATATTGTTTACTTCTTGTACACCATTAGTAATGCGTATTTGACTTAAAAGTACTCAATGCAGCTGTAAAAAGAATTTACCAAGGCAATAAAAAGGAATGATCTTGTAATAAGTGTTTGGAATCACTCTAATAACAGAATGATTTGTGTTTAGTTTGAAAGGAAAGCAGTGCGAAAGGCGTTTACCGCCAAAGGACAGGCTGACAACAATCTTGTTAGTGTTTCATCGGCCATACAATGAGCAGTGTTCGTATGAGTAGAAAACGCATCGTTCTGTTATCTTATCGAGATAAACGTGCGGTACCTATTTTCATACGAATAACCGCTCATTATCATACTTCATCTTTAGGTTATTCTACCATGGTAATCATTCACCAATATAAGTTATTTTTCCTTGTTGCATTAATATCTATTTCGTTGATATTATGATATTGAATAATATTAATATTATAATACTGTATTAGAGCGTTTAAAGTGTATGCCAACGGGGGTGGAGTTTTACGCCATATACAAAAGAAATTATATTGGTGAACGTTTACCATGGAAACATTACTCATTTTACATTGTTAGTGTATCACGCGACAGTGACTTTAATTATACTGGAAATCATTCTAACTATCCATCACATTACGACACGTTCTTGAGAATAGTGCGCACTTGAAAATATCACCATAATTAAACCCTACAACCTTGTGGCGTTTCCTTTACTGACGATGAGATATTTGTCACACTATTAGCGCTTATTAGCGGAGCTCCCGCGCGGGCCGAAGGCCCGCGCGAGCGGAGCACC